TTGTATCCAAACGTTATGAATGCAGTTTACTTAGTGAAAACACAATAAAGAATTATTGAAGGATTAACATTTTTTTCTTTAAGAATTCGTAAAGAAACTAACAAGGTATTGTTTGATTCGTCATAAAAATAGCATTCAAGACCTTTTTTAATAAACAAACAGATAAGACAGCCATCGCTTCGCTTAAAATATATTTTTAAGAGTTCTTGTTTTGCAATCTACATTGTAAATACTTATACGTATATCTTTCTGATGTACTGAAAATATATCGTCTGGAACCTTCGATTTCTTGGTTAATAAGCACATACGAATATGCGGGGTGACAATTATTTATTAGTGTGCTGATATAACAGGATTTACCGCTCTTTATGTGTATTCATATTTATGTTTTAAAATGTTTAGTGGCTTGTAAAGTGTTTGTCTAATGATCGATATTCTACCATAATCTTGGGACCACAAGATTTAAATTCATCTAATATATTTTCATTTTCATTTTTTGTATTGTTAATGACAATCTAGAAAATTTTCGATTCTATTTATTGCCAATACTAGAAGTAAACAGCTACTGAGCAAAAGAAAAGGTTCACAAACAGAGTAGAAAATGGCACTAATTATTTTTTCTAGCTCATTTCTTCATTTACTGGTGTTAGGACCTCTTGTGAATCCGCACGGGTAGGTACCACCACTCTGCCTATTTCTGCCGTGAAGCAATAATGCGTTTCGGTTTGAAGGGCGGGGGAACCGTTGTAACTATACCGAGACCTTAGAATTTATATCTCAAGATGGGTGGCGCATTTACGTTGTAGATGTCTATGGGCTCCAGTAATCACATAACACTAGGTGGGCTGTGAGTTCGTCCACACAACTAAGCAATAATAAATAAAAACATACAGATTTTAATTATTTTTCTGCTATTCGTGAGTAGGTTATCCATTTGTTTATTTTCGGTCTTCTCAAAACATATAGACACCTTAACGTTTTGAATGTTAAAACTCTTCATTGTGTTGTTGAATGTCTTCAATCCCCCCTTCAAATCTGGCGTACGGCTGTTTCGCGTCCGAAATAGGCAGGTTAGTGGTACCTATCTATGCGACACGCCCTAATGAGTGAAATTACGAATTGGGCTTATCCTTTCATCTGTTCTCTTGGTTGTCTGATTTTTAGCGCATACTTTGGTAATTTTTACGTGTTTTGTTGCCAATAAATCGTTTCATTAACGTGAAATTAGACCGTACACTTTTTTTTAGATTATCGCGAGCTTAGAAAAACTTACTCGCTAATATTTTGAATCGGCTTAAAGTTAAATTAATTTAAAAATAATACGCACGGAAGAGCGAGCGAGCCGTTTTAATTATATACCGTTTAATTGCCACTAAAAAGTAATTAACCACTTGTTTAATTGGATCTCTAAAGTTAATTAACTGTGCTAATTGTTTTTCGGGTAAAACTAATTGGTTTAGTTAACGGGTTTGTCAAATTAATGATAAATTTTATTTCTTAGAATGACAGGCTAGTGTTTTATTGTTTAATTAGTTTCAAGACGAATTTGAATATGATGGCGGAAACGCTGGCGTCACTTGCTTCTTAACGGCAACATAGTAAATACCAGATATTTTTTTGTTGGTACAGGGGTACCAAATCTAATTGTTTATAATATTCTTGATTATCCCGATAAATGTAATAAATGAGTCAAAATCCCAGTACGGTACAAACAGTTGAAAAATGTTATTAAATATCATATTTTCTTATTCATTTGTTGTCACTGAACAAAAATAATATTAGAATGAATGCGTTTTTTATTTCTCTTTTGTACTTCACTGGCTTATTAATTATTTTCTTGTTGAGTAAACTTTATTATAAAAAAAAACCGCCTGAAACGTCTACCGCTTCCCATATCTTGTTTCGTATCAAATCTAGAGTTGTAAATTGCCAGCGATATCACATAATTGCATTAAATATCTACGCAACGAATCAGCCGGCTGTGACGGAACTGTTTTTGTGTCTTTGCGAAAACATCCAAGTTTCATATATGACTTTTTGTCGTGCAAGAAGGTGTTTTAATACTTTTACTATTTAATAAGCTTTGTACTTATAAAGTGCATTGTTCGTTTTACAAATATTTAATGAGTCTTTTAATTTATTGTTATTATTGTTTGGGTATTAATAATAAAGCTATTATTGCGGTTTAACTGTTCGTAAGTGGTAATTTTAGCTAATAGGTCAGATTGAAATCAATCTTATGAAATCGTATTTAGGTAATTCCAACAAAATTTAATGAGCTATCTAAATCCGCGTAATATTTGTGTTTAGTGCGAGTTTTTTAACTTCTGCTTATCAGCAAACGAATCAACTCTATACAATTTCGAGTTAACTTTCACGCGATCGAGAAGTTAAAAACTGAAACGGAGGTGGGAGTGAGAAGCGTCGCCCGCGTGTCACGAAGCATTGTATCGCGCGCGTCTATTCCCAAACATGTTAGTTACATTGTGTGCGGCTATATGCACTAATGCAGTTTTTTATAAAATAACATGTATACACAAAAGATATAGTGGCGGATTTTATTTGCCTAAAGTCATCTTAAGCAGTCAACCAAAGATGATATTGAGAATACTTTGGTAAGCGAATCGTTTTGTTATTAATTTTTCAAATCTAAATTTGAATGGATTTAGTTAAAATTATGAAATTTTATATGCATGTTCAGTAGGTCTGAGAATCGGCTACTATCTATTTTTCATACCCCCAAGTGATAAAGGTTGTCCACCCCTAACATTTATTCTTTGGACAATTTTTTTTTTGTTATAATAAGGCCATTAGGTATGTGGGTGAATGAGGTTTTGTTATTTTTATATTCCCTCATCGTTCACACCGCTACATGCCTCTTTTACTCATTTACCACATCCTTACACACTTATAATAACTTAGTTTTTTTTTGTCGACACTAGAAATTCTCTAGAAATCTTATATATAGCAAAACAACGTTTGCCGGGTCAGGTCATATTCATCAATTTATATATAATAATATATATATTCATCAGTTTTAAGGCACGTATGAAATCGCGGTCCCACCGCATTCGTGTAATATATTAATAACACAATTAAATAAGGCGGATGTTTGTTCGTTGCCATTTAGATGGGTTACCGCGATAGAAAGCTTAATTGTGCTTGACGTTTATACTACAGGACTCAGCAGAGCCGCTTTCACAATTGTTATATTAACATAAACATTATTATCAGCCATTGCTTTTTTTTTTTAAATGTAATTCTTTAACGTTCTTTTATCTAACAATTATCTTTATTACACGGTAATCGAGAAACAAATTCAATTTTAACAGTTATTTTCATTGTAATAACGTTTTTAAACAAAACAACTAACTTTATCGTAGTAATTGTAATAAATGAAATTGATACATAAACAGTGAGGAATAAAATTCTTGATTAAATTTTTTTTCGTTTGATACTATTATTTTTTTATTGCTTAGATGGGTGGACGTCCTCACAGCCCACCTGATGTTAAGTGGTTACTGGAGCCCATGGACATCTACAACGTAAATGCACCACCCACCTTGAGATATAAGTTCTATGATCTCAGTATAGTTACAACGGCTGCCCCACCCTTCAAACCGAAACGAATTACTGCTTCACGGCAGAAATAGGCAGGGCGGTGGTACCTACCTTTTTTTTATGATTGAATATTTACTGGTAGCCCGGAGGCCTTTCCGGTTTCACCAGGACAGGAGGGCGAGCAAAGGCTCAGCCAAAGGTACCTACCTGCGCGGACTCACAAGAGGTCCTACCACCAGTAATTACGCAAATTATAATTTTGGGGGTTTAATTTTTATTACACGATGTTATTCCTTCACCGTGGAAGACAATCGTGAACATTTATTGAGTACGTAATTCATTAGAAAAATTGGTGCCCGCCTGCGGGATTCGAACATCGATGCATCGCTCAACACGAATGCACCGGACGTCTTATCCCTTAGGCCACAACGATTCATTTCTGTATTGACTTGTTTTTGTTAATATAAAAAAACCTCTATATCGCATAATAACAAATAGATTAAAACGATTTTAATCAATTATTTGGAAAAAAAAACCAAGTATTTGTTGCTAAGCTAAAATGAACCGTAAAGATTGAGTTTACCATGAATTGCTTGCTAGCTTCATCGTGTCATCGTTTCTTAATAGCTTTGTGAAATATCAGATTATTCGGTTGACCAGACGTAGTTGAAAATTGAAAGAAAATAACGTGTATTGCTTCATCCTAACACACACAAACAGGTCAAGATAATACAAAGCGGAAATAATGGGAACTTGCATTACTGCCTCGATCATGCGAAATAAATAAGTAGCCAGTTGAAGTTTACACTGGATTCCACAAGACGTTTTGATACTACAATCATTCACACATACTCTTCATTTCGCGTGCCTCATTTCTGAGGGTCATGACACGTTCGGGGAATAATTTTCTGTTTGATGATGCTCATTAAAAGTTGAATTGACTTGAAGCGACCTTTTCATAAGATTGCGAAATTTAGTTTTTTTTCGTTGTCAAACATATAGGTAAATTAATCAACTGCTTCAACCTCTATCTTGGCAATGATAGCGAAAAATTCCAGTAGAATACGGATACGGATCGTGGTTGACTTTATTTTCATGCCTTATTTAAAAATATTCATAAATAGACGCATTAAACCTTATTACAATAGATTTATCTATAGTTTTAAAATAACTACCATGGCAAGTTTGCAGTAAAGCATGTTATGGGCATAAGGAAAGATTTTCTAAATAGCGAAAATTAACATTTTAAAAATACAAAAAACAATGCCACCTAATTTTTTTATTGGCTCGTCTAAAAATTTTGGATCTTTTTAGGTGTATGTAACAGCTTTAATGCATTGCGTTTATTGCACAAATTAATATAACTTTTATACATACGCATAACTGGAGTTAATTTCTAATAGCATTTAGGTAAGTCATCTTATGTTCTCTTCCGGCAGTGAAATAATGGGGGTATCAGAGCCCGGTTCTTCAACAACTCCCGAATTATCTTTGGACCATGAGAGGCCAGGATCAGGCAGCGGTCCCGATGATGAGGACATCCCCAGAAGGAAGCAGAGGCGATACAGGACGACATTCACTAGTTATCAATTGGATGAACTGGAGAAGGCTTTCGGAAGAACACATTATCCTGACGTCTTTACTAGGTGGGTTATTTGAGTTGAAAGTGTCTTAATAATTAATATTTACTTAATTATTATTTTTTCGTTAACGGAATTGGACAGTTTCTAAAGTAAATGAAAAATAAAATTGATAAAATAAACTTTAGGTTTAGTCAGGTGTTAAATTACATAGTTGCTGATTACTTTTGTGTAACTTCATGGTTGATGCCCAGTTTTTTTTGCAAATTAAATTCTACATATAAAATTGCATATATTTAGGCAGCGGCTTGGCTCTACCACTGGCATCGCTGAAGTCCATGGGCGACGGTAACCACTCACTATCAGGTGGGCCGTATGCTCGTCTGCCTAGAAGGGCCAATAAAAAAAAAAGTTTAACCCTTCGCTCAGTAATCCTAATTGTATTTTATCAACGATTTTCTTTTGTTACAGAGAAGAGCTAGCTTTAAAGATAGGGTTGACTGAAGCCCGAATCCAGGTAAGATATTCACTACTCACAGAATTGTATTATAACAATATAACAAAACAAATCGACACGGTAAATCATTCAAGAGCACATGTAGGTATTACCATTCGGCCTAGTTCTGTTGCGCTACAACCCTGTATTTCAATTCAAAGGGTGAGCGAAACTTCGACTTCAGCTCTCAAGATAAGTAGCAACGTTCACGTTGTGATGTCTACTGTCTATAGATTACCGAAGTTAAGTATTTACTGAACAGCGGGTGCGCCATTACTATGTATATCTACTCATGAACCGCTTCCATTGCATCTTCGGATCCTTGCTGCGCTGTTTTGGCCTTAACATTTTTAACACGAGACCGTTAAGCCTACCAAAATCGAGCCAACGCATAGACACACTTCTTGTTTCATCCAAGATCATCATGAACTACATCTTTTTTTAATTTTTATTGCTTAGATGGGTGGACGAGCTCACAGCTCACCTGGCGTTAAGTAGTTACTGGAGCCCATAGACATCTACGACGTACATGCGTCACGCACCTTGAGATATCAGTTTTAAGATCTCATGTATAGTTACAACGACTATCCCACCCTTCAAACCGAAACGCATTACTGCTTCACGGCAGAAATAGGCAGGCTGGTGGTACCTACCCGCGCGGATTCACAAGAGGTCCTATCACCAGTAAAATCTATATTATCCATGGCTTAAGAGAAAAACCGATAGCGCCCGGGCTGCGTCAGTTTCGTGTTAGGCGAGGGCTTAGTGTATACCTACTGTTGGCTTAGGCACCTCTTGGAATACCAAGAATTTGGCTCAGTCACAAAGCTGCAAAGAAAGACCAAAAAAATTAACAAAAAATCACATCACAATTTGAAATAATTCCACAAGTAGCACGAGTGGCATATCAAATCAAATCAAATCAAAAACAAATTATTCAACATAAACATACTTGTTGAACGTCAAAAGAACTACCGCCAATTCACAAGAACTAGCCTCCGTCCTGAGAAGAATTGGCAAGAAACTCAGCGGGCATGTCTTTTTTTTTTTAAATATGAAATTATTATTTTATTTTTAATGCATGTAGGTACTTGCAGTGCATTAATTTAATGCATGTACCTACATATTTTATAAAATTATTCCCTAATTATTTATAAAAGTATTCCCTGTTTTTTCATATAGCAGAATTCAGTAAATGAAACGTCTTATGATGACTCGCGAATGACAGACTTTGACATTGATGAAAAAAAAAATTGACCACACATGCACCGCTTCGGTTTATTCAATTCCTATTGAGTTTTGTTGCAGATTATTCTTGTTCGCTTTAAATCATCCATATTAAAGAACGAATATACTATTTACATGTTTACCGAAGTCTTTCGTTGAATAAATATTAACCGATTGTAAAAAATCAAGAAGCGTCAGAAAATCGCACTTTGTGACCCCCCGCTGTAGAAGAAAGGTTGGGGTCACAATGGGCGCGTATTTTAACAAGTATAATTTATTTCGTTACTTGTTCTTGAGAATGAAAAGAGTCTTCTTCGTAATTGTAATTTTTACTGGTGGTAGGAAGTAGCAAAAATAAATAAATTGGAAGCTCGTGACAAAGCATGTGATGCATTTTACTTAGCGTTGCATTAGCCCACTGAGTTTCTCGCCGGATCTTCTCAGTGGATCGCGTTCCCGATCCGGTGGTAGATTCTGCGAAGCACTACTCTTGCTAGGGTCAGTGCTAGCAACACTCCGGTTCGAGCCCCGTGAGCTCACCTACACACTAGGTTAGGGTGAAGCTGAAATAGCCTCTCAAGGCAATCAGCATAGGTAGGAAAAAAAAAAGCGTTGTAAGTGTCATCCATCATCAATGCTAGAATTTACTTAGGTTGAGCGAATTTTAGTCACATGCGCTGTACATTGGTTCCGACAAATAATTAAGATTTGACAAAATCCAAATACTCGATAATAAAAAAAAAACATGTATGGTGAGCGAAATCATTGAAATAAAATAAAAAGATCCTAACCTTAATATAAAGGATGGTCAAAGCTCATCTAACAAACTGGACTCTTCTGATCTCGAAAATGAAGACCCAAGTTAACCAAACAATAAGCCAGACTTCAAGATACTGTTAGTTTGTTCTGTGTGAAATAAAATGTAATCGACTGACGAAATTTTTATAGAAAAACACACACTGTAATTGACAGCGAGTTGACACTGTCCCTGGTATTGCTGACGTCCATTACCGACGGTAACCATTCACCATTCGATCGTATGATTTGCCTGCAAGGATTATTTTAAAAAATCAGCACGAATAATAGTCGAATTGTAAAGTATTCGAACCGTTGGAAGAAACATAACGACAATAAAAAGCGCAGGATTAAATCGTAAAAGAAGACTCATATACAAGTATCCAACTTGACCACGTAATACTTTCGAATCGGTGGAAATAATGTAATGACAATAAAAAATGCCGAATCAAATTGTAAAAGAAGTTTCAATTATGAAATTTAGATCGTTATCATTAAGAGAAGCTTCGTTTATAAAGTCGATTAATTGACTCGATAGCTGGCAACTTCGTTCTCTAAATCACACAACACTGACATCATTAAGATGTACAGAAATACAGTTCAATGTTTATCCAACAAACGTATTCCTGTCGTAATTTTCATGGTTATTACCATACTTCATTGTTTTAAAATTAGTGTTTATTACTACATGGCTCACGGTCATAAACAAAAGAAAAAAAAACCCAGTGAGACAATACCAAAAATTTGTTTGCAGTGTAATTTATTAATGTTTTAATTAAAAACATTATAAAGCCAGCTTTTATGGAGTCGTCAATGTTTTTACCAAGTCCCTTCTACGTATTAATTAAAAAGAAAAAGTTATGTGACGCGATAAGTTAATTAAGCACGCCTTCGATGCAGCCAGTAAAAATAGAAACAATGTTACCTGAGAATGTTGCGCGAATTTACTTCAAATGCTTGTGTTGGGCGCGTGTGTTTTTTTACACGTTTTTGAAGAATATTACCTATGAAATGTGTGCAAGTACTGGTAATAATTAATTTGAATCAATAACACGATGAGTTTGCGTAATTTTTGTATAGAAGTCCGATTGTTTTTATTTTGTTTTTTATGTATTAGCGGTGGTAGAGAGTATTGTGAGCCAAAATAGATGGGTCGCCACAGAGCAGTCTATGCGTTCTGGTTGATCAGTGACGTGGCGTGCAGCCTCTTTGACAGGACGTACAACCTACAATTACTAGACATAGACTAAGACAGAAACTTGACAGATATGAATTAACGAAACTGGAAAAAACAAAGGAAAAAACACGACGGTCCTCCCCGGTCACCGTCCTCGCCGAACCCGTCGCTTGCGACGAAGGGCTCCACGAGTAAATTAACTCATAGATACAGCCCACTGAGTTTCTCGCCGGATCTTCTCAGTGACTCGCGTTTCCAACCCGGTGATAGATTCTGCGAAGCACTGCCCTTGCTAGGGCCAGTTTAGCAACACTCCGGACTTAGCCTCTCAAAGGTTGTAAAAAAAACGGTTCTCTGGCAGTGGTCTTCCCTGCCTTCAATGCCCTTCTTAAAGAACCTAAATAGACGAAAAAGAACGAACCGACCTTCAATCAGAGATACAATAATTATACATACGAGACTTCAACCCCGAGTCTCAAGGCCTTCCCTATATGAGGTCTATGGGCTCATATGAACCACTTAGGCAACTAAAAATTCTTTATAAAATTATTTAAAAAAAAACTCGAATATTAGAGAAATTAACCATATGTTTTTAAAAAAAAAATTAGTCAAATTTAGACTTTATATTATAAAGTTTATAACAAAAAAGTCCCTTGATTTGCTACTTTTAAGAATAAAACATCAATCCCTTATAATTGCAGTATGTTAAAATAAAAAGCTACTAGAAATGCAACTACGTATGATCTGTTTCTTAGATTAAATAACGATAGAAATCTTATCCGACAATGACATTACCAAACTTAATCGAACGCATAATTATATCTTGAAAGCGATTGTAATACACTAATCAACTATTTCATAAACGCCTTCATTGCGACGCTATCCAAAATAAGTTACTTGTGTTTGTTCAGTAAAAGTATATCTCATACCGATATATTGCCTGAAAAACGGGTCACGTGAACTTCGTTCGAAAGACATAAAAGCTTTAAAAAATAATCATCTACTGATTTCGCCGATGACTTCGGTAACGAAGATTAAAACGATTAATATCCGTCATTAAGACATTAAATTATGGTCACAGAAAGCCGTTAAAATTCCGCGAAGACGGTATATGAGACGCTGCTTAAGGATGGCAATGTAATTTTTATTTTCATTCACAAAAACAATTATATCGACGATTGAAAGGCAAACGTGACTAAGCGACAGTGCGTTAACTTTACAGTAGACCAATTTAAAGTTGAAATACCTGAAAAAAAAATCTGTTTTAACGAATCTAGCTGTAGGATTGAAATGATTTTAATAGAACTAGAAATATATATTTTTTGCGCATCGAATATGGTTATTGCCTATCATTTATGTATAAAGCAGTTATTGTCGCTTAGTCACGTTTTCCTTTCAAGCGTCGATATAAAAAAAGGAATGATGTGTTTGTGTATCGTCTTGCAAGTAGTGCGAATCATTGACTATTAATGTTCTTTAATCGACATACTATCGGATGAAACAATTAGTTCAATTGAAACAGGACATTCTTAGGGTTCCATTTCAAGTTCTTTTAGATGGTAGGATGATTTGTGAGCTCACTGATACCTGTGCGACCATCTTGCATATTATTGGAGTTATGTGATCATGCCTTTCGGATTGGGTCACTTATTCTACAATACAATTAAGACTTCGTGCTCATGTCTTGTGTTAGGGGTTATTACTCACGATGTCCATAGTCCTTGGTAAACATAGGAACGTCGTGAGCTTGACTATCATCTAGAGTAGGGTTACGTGAAAATTTTATTTATTTATCGTATGACATTCGTTTACACTGCGTGGTTATAATTTAAGTTTACAGTTTTTGAAATAATCGATAGCTTCCTCTGTTACATTTTTGAGATCTTCCACATGGCCTGCGAATTTCGTTAGTTCGTGAAAATGATATTGATAATGGTTATATAGATACTGAGAGGTTAAATCAGTTACCTAAAATAAATTCTAAATATTATTAATATTATTGTCTATTATTAGTTTATTTTATTAGAGTATTAATTATATTATTAATATATAAAATTATAAATGTTGTCTCCAATAAGCACTATAAAATTATCCTTAACTAAATCAAACTAATAACTTCCTAAGGTGCTAAACTATGCGCGTTCTGTTCGTAAAAGTAGATTCGTTTGTATACCGCTTATCTAAGTTTATGTCTGTTAAGAGAAACGAAACCCATTATAGGAGTACATCTGGAGTTATCAGATGAGTAGGTATTCTTAATGAAAGAAAAAGTTTGGGAAGCACTGATCTAGCTAGCAAACTTCTACCTAACTGCTCGATATTCAAACACATGACTAAGAACGAATCAGTCGGCGCTCATTTACATTTTGAGTTTGAGAAAGGACGGGTGGGTCGCGTTTCCTATCCGGCGGTAGATTCTGCGAAGCACTGCTCTTTTTTTTTTTATTGCTTAGAGGTGTGGACGAGCTCACAGCCCACCTGGTGTTAAATGGTTACTGGAGCCCATAGACATCTACAACGTAAATGCGCCACCCACCTTGAGATATAAGTTTTAAGGTCTCAGTATAGTTACAACGGCTACCCCACCTTTCGAACCGAAACGCATTACTGCTCTCGCTAGGGCCAGTGTTAGCAACGCTTCTGGTTTGATCCCCGAAAGCTCACCTACACGCTAGGGTAAAGCTGAAATAGTCTCTCAAGGCTATCAGAAAAGATGGGAAAAAAGCAATTTCTACTTCGTGGCAGATATAGAATCAGATAAAGATGAGTAAACACCCTAACGAATTGTATTCTTTATATCTTCGGCGAAATGTTTATGCCTATTTTTATTTAATTTTCACGAATAATCCAATGCCAGGTGGAAAATATGTCGCCTCACAAAGGTTTCCCACGTTCACCCGCTTACAACACGTAACTTAATTAACTTTCGGAACATTAAGTATGTCAATATAACTTCGACTTAACGACAAAAGAAACGTTAATGGTCACTCAATCACTATACGAGAAGACGTTTTCATTAAACAAAAGCGAAATTGGTAAAACTGCATCATTCCGTATATTTATTTCTTCATTCATATTTATTATTTACTTTTAAGGTTTACGTTTTGTTAAAAAAAACTTTCGTAACGATAACTAAAAGAAGAGTCATTGTGCATACTTAAAGGCTTCGTCAAACAGAACACGTAATTAGCGCGCGTCAGAGCGCTACGCTATGACGCCGAGATGTGATGTACTACTGTGGTAACATACCGTCACACAGAGCGCCAGCGCTATAAGCGCTATAGCGCTGGCGCTCTGTTTGACGGTATGTTACCATAGTAGTACAACACATCGCGGCGTCATAGCGTGGCGTTAGTTTAGCGCTCTGACGCGCGCTACGTACGCGTTCTGTTTGACGAAGGCTTTAAATATATTTTTTCAAATTTTAACTGTCAACGAAGACCATTATAATTGGAACTGTTGAATTGCGATATTGAATAGGTTGTTATCGATAATTATTTTAAACTATGTCAAAATGTGTTATTCAAACTAGTTAGTTGAATGGGCTGTGTTCCTTAATTGGTCAACACAAAGCTTTAAGTGATAGATTATCGTTTTTATATTTACGATTGGACGACGTCATAGGATGTAGTTCGGTAAAACAACTGCTACATATAATTAATATTAATTAAAAACAGCAGGCAAATTTTGTTATTACCGTAAAATACAAAATAAAAGTGACGCAAATAACTCGAGTCAAAGGCGTATAAAATATGTTCAGTTAAAAAGTTCATAAAATAATATGAAATACGAATAATATGTAATTTTGTTAATTAAATAACGTATTTCATAATTCAGAGGTTAATCGAAAATACTATGTCAGATTTATGTGCAACATTAACGTATCAATAAATTGAATGAATATGCAGAGGAAAGAGAGAGAAAATACCACAATATGCTTTTTGTTTTTGTATCATTGAAGGATTACTGGTGGCCTTGAGGCCTTTCCAGTTTCACCAGGACAGGTGGGCGAGTAAAGGCTCAGCGAGGAGGGGTAGGATTTGCTAACAGCTGCCCGAGCGCCTCCTTCCACAATATGTACAAACAAGCTCACTTAATGAAAATCGCGTTCACTCACGAAACTATTTTGTTGCTAAAGGTGTGGTTCCAAAATCGGCGAGCGAAATGGCGGAAACAAGAAAAGGTTGGGCCACAAGCGCATCCGTACAGCGGGTATTTGAACGGTGTGCAGCCGCTGCCGACATCCGCGCCGCTTCCAACGGCACCACACCCGCTCTCACAGCTGGGATTCGGTCTAAGGAAGCCATTCGACACCGCATTAGCGTCGTTCAGGTGAGTTCGACAATAACTGAATACTATAATTCTTTAAATTATCACCATGTATCAACTTTATCACAGCTACGCACTTCTTGTATCTTTCACTTCATCAACGAGGGTTAACTGGAAGAGAATGCCTGTGAGGCGTTAAGTTGGCCTATATAAAATATTTTTGTGCAATAAAGAATTTTCAATCGATGCATAACAAATCTATTTTAATTTAAAACTAGCGACCCGCCCTCGCTTCGCTTCGGAAACTGTAATTTATTATTGATTTCTCCACTATTTGATGGATGTTATTATACATATAAACTTTCCTCTTCAATCACTCTATCTATTAAAAAAAACTGCATCAAAATCCGTTGCGTAGTTTTAAAGATTTAAGCATACATAAGAGCATAGGGACAGAGAAAGCGACTTTGTTTTATACTATGTAGTGATTAAAATGATGTGTCTGTTCGTAATTATTGCGACCGTACTTCTGCTGTATGTTTATTTTTAATGCCAATATATTTTTTGTTTTTCAACAGGTACGCTAATTCCCAACTATTCGGAACGCAATACTTGCCACCACTCTCGCGGCCACTATTCGGAGCCCCCTTATACCCGACATCGCACGCACATTTTCATTCCTTATTCGTGAATCTAACAGCTCATGACTCCCTTCGTCTTTCCGAAGACAGCAGACTCTCGGCTGAACATTCCCGATCGTCGCCTGAAAATATGCGGCCCAGTGAATCGTTTCAAGCAGCGACGAGATCGAATCGTTCGCCGTCGATATCTCCCCCTATATCGCCTGGCAGTGAGTCGTTGCCTTTACAACCCGCAATGGATGATGTAAGAAGTTCAAGTATCGCCGCGTTGAGGTTGGCAGCACGGGAGCACGAATTGAGATTAGAATTGTTGAGACAAAGAGCAGATTTAATTTGCTGAATATAAAAATGGCATATTGTTTGCGAAAACATTGTGTAGTAATTTAATTAAAAAATATTACTCTAATTGTAATTAAGGTTTAAGAAAAATTTTTGAATTTTCATTGTCATTGTATAATTTTCATTTTAACATTAGTATCAAAATTTTGTATTATTTAGTGTATTGAGGCATCCTATTATTTGTATTTTTAGATTACATACCCGTCCAAAATAATAAATTTTGTTTTTAAATGTAAATATTAATGTAAATTTTTATCAATAAATATTATTGTTCAGAATACTTTGTTTCAGTTTAAAGAAATCAATTTTTTTTTTCGAATTCCGCTACGCTTTACCCATTGTTTTAAAAATAAATAAAATTAAAAGAGATTTGCAACCGTTAGTTTCAAAAATATTTAACACTGTGCTCCCTTTGATTATTGACTTTACATTATGCCGCAAGGCTGATTGAATACATAGAAATTGTTTTTGCAGCCAATTACGTACTAATTATTGGTGGTAGGACCTCTTGTAAGTCCGCGCGGGTAGGTACCCTGCTTATTTCTGCCGTGAAGCAGTAATGCGTGTCGGCTTGAACTGTGCGGCAGTCGTTGTAACTATACTGAGATCATAGAACTTATATCTTAAGGTGTCACTTTAGTATTGTAAAGCACAGTATAAATCGATTGACAGTTAACCTACCTATTGCATACTAGTGGTCCTCCAGTACTCAAAATTCGACTATAATTGATTGAAATTATAAGTTTGTGGATTATTATGGTCGTATTGTCAAAGACTATACTTCTATAATCACAAATTTCGTCAAGGCTCACTATAGAAATATAATATTAAGGACAAACAATATTCTTCTTATTAATCATTGTCAATTCAATATCAATCTATTGTGAGTTAGACTTACAACAAACAAAAGAGTATATATGCGTATCTGTGTCAAATACATGGTAGTGTGTGTAATGTTTTTCTTATCGATTTTACATTAATGCATAATTTAAAAAAAAAAACAACATTCTGCACTCCTTCCCTATACTGCGTATTAGGAGACCGCCCCCGAAAACGAAAACAGACGATATTACTAATGACACCATTGATAATGGGACGGGAAAAAATCGATCCTGACTAAAAAAAACATATTTTTAAAACGTTTTAAGAGCATTATTTACGCTCCATCACGTTAATACAGCTAAATGAAACTATAGCTTCACATAGAAACTTTACTAAAAAAAACCCAGCAATGAAACACAAAATCAAAAACAGCTGATGCTCGGATCAACGACCGCACGGGCGCGGCGCGGCACAGACTCGCGCGGTCGCATAAATACTTATTTACAACATTTGCTTAAATATTTCCATCGTCAAAGGTGTCATTAGTAGGTATCGTCTGTCTTCGTTTTCGGAAGCGGTCTCCTAACACCAGTATTATAAACTATAAGTTTTGGAAATTTCATACTCCTCCGTCCGCGCAATTTTCGTAAAAAGAGATACAAAGTTTTTGCTTCACGTATCTATATAAATAAAAATGAATTGCTGTTCGTTAGTCTCGCCAAAACTCGAGAACGGCTGAACCGATTTGGCTAATTTTGGTCTTGAATTATTTGTGGAAGTCCAGAGAGGGCTTTAAAATTAAATAAATATGAAATTGGTCGGAATTAAATAAAAATAACAATTTTGTTTTTCTTTGATTTGTCCCCCATCGCGTCGTACGGATTTTGTTTGTTTTAAGTTTATTTTATACAAAATCTTAGATCTTTTATTTATTGATTGAGACACTACGAAGTCTGCCAGGTCATCTAATTAATATATAGATTCCTTGTGTTGACACCGTACATCAGTGTTATAGACGCAAGATGAGTCAGCTTATGTTAGTCACCGTGCCAAGGCCGGTGAAGGGACGGTACGTGCCGCAATTATACCCTGTGACCTAGGGCCCAGCTCACCGCAGCGGTCTTATAATAAGCCTAAATTACACCTAGATTAGGATTCAAAATTATGTAATTTGCTTGAATAATTGGCGTTTCAATGATACGGGTTTTTAATGGTTTCTGAAGATTGATGTTCGGCTCATTTGATTGACTTCGGTGGTAGATTATCATACAGTTCTGGTGGGATGGTGGGATTGTCGCCCGTGAAGCTTAGCGAAAACAGGGGTACAGCAAAACCGCGTCTGAATATAGTCATATCATGCAGGGGTCGTTGTCGTATTTCTAAATGATCGTAATCGAAAAAATACAATATTATTCGTTATAATTACAAATCGACGCTTGAAAGGCAAACGTGACTAAGCGACAATGCGTGAACTTTACAGTATTAATTTAAAGTTGAAATACCTAAAAACAAAATTTATTTTAACGAATATAGCTGTAGTAGAATCTAGCTAGTAGCTGTAGGATTGAAATGATTTTAATAGACTTAGAAATATATATTTTTTGGGCATCGAATATGGTTATTGCCTATCTATCATTTATGTACAAAGCAGTTATTGTCGCTTAGTCATGTTTGCCTTTCAAGCGTCGAAATATGTATTAGTAGCTGCAAAGTTGTAAAATAATAGTACACACAGTAACAGATATACAATTTTATTTAACTTAAATAAAAAAATAAGTAAAGTGAATTTAGATTCTCCTCTTCCATTTTGGAAGTTGTTTAGGAAAGTTGTGTGTAGGAAAGTGTTTTGTGTAGGAAAAGTAAAACATTGAGTTATTTTTTTCAAGATAGCAAGCAAATAAAGGGTCCTTTTGTTTTAAAGTCTAAAATCGCATTATAAAATATTTTTAAATTTATTTTTATAACGTAAACTGGAGGAGCTCATCGACATCATGTCTTAAATGCTCTCACTTATCTTTTGACATGTGACTGAAAGCTAAATTGAAATATGAGTGGGGTTGTCTTACAATTCAAACTATAACTAACTGTTATACGTCCATTTCCGAGGTCGTTTAAAAATAATAATTAGTTACAATAAAGTTTAATTGATTTATATATTATGTATTACAAAGAGGAGAGGACCCTTAGGCAACCGTTAGACGTGAGAGCTGAAAATAGTCTGATTGAAACGCAGGCTATTTGTGACTTTACTCATGAAACTGCTAACCAGGCATATATATCAAAATGTATGACCGAGTGTTGTGTCATCTACTTAGGGTTCAGTAGACGGTTATAACATAACGATTACCGTGCGTGGTACCCACCAGTGCAGACTTACATTACATCCTACCGGCAGTAAATGCCAATTGACAGTGATATTATGCTACTATAATATCCAGAATGCGCTGCCCATTCTTCGATGGACCAGCCCAGTAATAGATAAGCTGGTGCTATTCTGGGCTGACACCGCAGAGCCAGTCATTGCTGCAAAAAGTAAATAACAATAAACTCACGCCAAAAAACAAGTAACACTGTCCACAGGGAATACAAACTCATTTAAATTCAGTTACAGAAATGATTCACAACAGAGAAAGCAATCACTAAAACGCCATTATCCTTTACGACAATCAAGAACGCATAAAAGGGTCCTTTTTAAAATTATATTTAATAAACATCGAAATTTTATTAGTATTTATTTGACAAACAATTACACGCATCCTTTGTGATGATAATGGCAGTTATCATAATATTTTACGAGGTATGCCGGCGCGGATTTAGGGGTGTGACCGCGCGACATTCAACAACTATCGATAAGTTGTATCAGAATAAAACTTCTGAATTTCTGTGCCTTTTTAAGTTTGTTTACAGAAATAGTAGTAACAATAATGTATAATTAAATCTGCTATGTGTTATTTGAGAAAAAAGTAACCAGTAAATAAAATAGCGGGATTTTAGACGTTCTTCTTTCTTCGGCATTATTCTGTCACTCTAAGCGATGTCCAAGTTTCAACAGGAAATTTCAAATCGATAATACAGCAAGCAAGTCACTGAAAATAAATAGTAAATCACAGTAGGTGATTTTTTTGTAGAATTTAAATTTATTTCCTAGTATTATTATATAACACATGTAACAGTATAAATAATGTACAATTTTACTTACAACAATAACGAATCATTTCTAGAACTTTGTTGAATATTTACATGTTTTTGTTTCAATGTACCTACTATGTTCTAACTAATTAATCTAAGGTTTATTTAAATCAGAGTACACTTTGCTTTGGTCCTATGGCATTTAGTTTGCCAGTGCCCATTTTTTTTATATCTGATAATATTACGGTACAATAGTATCATATAAATAAATTCGATTATTGCAATCTCTAATCAAACAAAAATTTTATTGTCTCGCATGCCCGTTGGCCAGCTCGGACGCTGGCGCTTGGTTAACTTTTATTCACCGATCTTTAGGTATCCAAGTTTATGGCGTATCATAAATAACACGCACGAATAAAGACGTTTTGTGTTCTGAATGCGAAGTTAAAGTCATTCTGTTTGAATTCCTATTAACTAGAACGTCCACGCGACTCCGTTTGTTGATATTTATAATATTATATATTTACATATTCATTAGCAAATTGGTTCGAAATTTTTTCGATTTAAACTCTCCGCGTTGCTAAGTACGCGTTCTGTTTGACGAAGGCTTTAGGCAGTCAGAATGGTACGAGGCAAAATGAAGTATTAGGTAATATTTTTACGAAATAATTTCCAGGTATACTCATAGTATATAACTAGTCAGGTCATAAGTATTGTCACACAGTAAAAACTTTTCTTTTAGAATGCTGGCCACAAAAAAGTTTATTGAATTCGAATTTCGAATTGTTCATGAAAATAAAAATATATATACTTTTAGAATTTTACTCATTTTTAAATATGGAGTGGACGCTTAAAGACGACCGTGTTGCAGTTATTGCGTTGCATCGTTGCAGTTACGCGCCAATTAAAATTTTTAACATACTGAAAAATTTGAATATAACCAAAAGATTCGTTTATCGTACCATCAAACGATACAATGAAGACTCTAGTGTAGATGACAGGTCAAGAAGTGGTCGCCCTCGGTCTGTTAGGACTCCAGCAGTGATAAAAGCTGTGAAGGCGCGAATTCAAAGAAATCCCAAACGTAAGCAGAAACTGTTGGCCCTTCAGATGGGGTTAAGCAGAACCACGGTGAAAAGGGTGTTAAATGAAGACTTAGGGCTTCGGGCATATC